TTGGCCTTCACGAGTTTAACAGACACTTAGATAACTTAATTATTTAATAGTCATAGCTTAAAAATTAGTTTGAAGAGTCAAACTTTGAAAAATATCAAGTTTTGAATACTCCTAATAAATAACATATAGAGGATATAGCAGTGGAAGCTTCAAATATTTTAGAGTAAAGTTTAGAAAAGAATAATTCTTTGAGCTCAGTCAAATTTAATACAAATTTAGTTGATATTATTTAAGAAGAATATTAATAAAGCAGCGATAGAAAAGGATTTATATAGGAGTAACAGCAGCAAGATATTTAAGATGAAAAGTTTTCTTCTAACACATAGTAAATAATCATTGAAAGAACATAACCAAAGCTAACAATGAGCTAAAAATAAATTTAAACAGAATTTAAAGAGAGTCTTTAATAGAAAAATTTATAAAAGATTAACGAGATTAAGTAAAGGAATAGCTAGCTACTCAGAGAATAGTTTGAGCACATAAATATTTAAAAATAATGTAGATAATATGATATTTAAAATGAGAATTTACAGAATATATAAAAGATACTTTTATTGGTATTAGCTCTAGTTGCAATTGCTGTTCTACTTAATAAATTATTTACATCAGGTAAACAGTAGATATCATTAATACATAATTAAAATTAACAATATAATTATCACCAAGAATATAAAAACCCTTTTCGAAACATTGAATTTCCAAATTAATACCACAAAGAAGATACTACAACCTTAGGAATAATTACTTACGAAACCTAAAGTAAAGATGCATTTTTATTTCTTTTATTAAATTTGAAATTAATTAATTGATTTTCTCACTATTCAAAGCTTATTTGAGAGAGATTGTATAAAATAGTGTTTTGTGTTAGTTAAAATGCATATTTTAAAAAATAATCATAGTTGAAGATTTATATAAGAGACTTAAGATAGAGATGAAAAAGAATAATGGTTAAATTACTTTTCAATAGACAGAGTAACTATTGGCTAACATGGGTGATTCAAGAAACCTTGAACTTTACATTAACAAAGTAAAAAATTAAATTATCTTAAATGTCTCAAAAATACTCAAAAAATATTAATATTTATTTTTTGCTAAAATACAACAGCTAAAAAGAATAATTTATCAAAAATCAGAGATGTATGAATCATTAAATTCATAAAATGAGGCTGTATATATTTTAAAGAATGTAAACTGATTTTCTTTCCCATACACTTTTATATTATTTGATTTTATATTGTTTTGAGAGTGTTGTGATGTAATCAGTTTATTTCTAGTAATTAATAATAAAATAAGAGGTAATATTATATGTAAATATATAATTTAATTTAATTATTTGCTATGTCAGACAGTTTTAGTACTATTTAATGTATGTAAAAAAATATCGTAATTATTTTCTTCTAATTTCATATTTTTAAGATGATTTCTTAGTGTAAATCGTCATTTAAATCCACTTAATTTTTTAAGTTTTTTTTTCTTTTTTTTCTTAATAAGTTCTTCAAATATCAAAGAGAAAAATTGAGAAATTTGACAAAAACACTTTTATTTAATCTGTTTGATTTGTAGATTATCAAATAGAAATGTAAGAAATTTTAGAGTATTTCAATCATATCTTCTAGATGCTATAACTTAAAAAACCTCAATAAATTCAAAGGTTACATTTTTAAATTTGATATGAATGGGAAGGGAGAAAGCCAAAAATAAAAAATAAAAAAGTAAGGAAGAAGTAGCAATTTTTAGTTATTCAAATTAAAGTTGATGCGAACATACTTACAGAAAATATAAATATGGAAAATAAATAGGAAGGTTTACATTAAATAAAGTATTTTAAAGGTATAATATAGAGTTATAAGATATTAAGGAATATATTATTTATACATTTTCGTCATTTGATTTTTTTTTTAATTAAGCTAAGCTCAATTGATGTGACGAAACATAATAAGAAGGACAGAATGTTATACAAAATAAATTATATTTTTTAAATTTGTTATATATGATGCATTATTAGTAGATTTGTTAATAAATTTAGATTAATTTTTTTCTTTTGAAAAACTTCCCGATTTATCTATTTCCCTTAAAAATTAATGAGTCTTTATATATATTCAGGAAATAAAAGAGAGGAGGCTGAAAAGATATTGCTTGTATATGAGAGGAATATAATGTAAATAGTTTATTTAAATTCTTTTTTTCTGATTATCGTTTTTTTATTATTTTCATGACTTTTATTTGTTTATTTAATTATTTCTTCCCTATTATCACACACCCTTGGCGTAAACTTAAGGATCTTATTATTAGACACTATTCTAATGACCATCTAAATGACCATCTAAAATATAAACATTTTCAACATTATCATTTGTGGTTTTAGATGAAAATTAGGATCTAGCTGCCTGATCAGGTAATTAGACGAAATTTTAGCTTTTAATAAAATTAATATAAAATTAACAAAAATACAATTTTGGATTTTAAAATAATAGTATTTCTAAATTTCAATTAATAGAAATAGTTACTTGTAGTTAAAGGTGTAGTCTAAAACACTACCAACAGCGTATTATTACTATTACTCGTGGTTTTAATTGATATCAATTTCGCAAGAAGGGTAGTTCTTTTTTCCATTCAAGGAGTCTATTTCCTTATTAATTGTTTCAGGTCTTATTGGCTTAATAGGATCAATTTCGAGGTTATTCACCTTAACCCAATCGATGTTTTTAAAGAATGGGTGAGACTTAATTTCTTAGAAACCTCCCTAACTTCCTATTCTGTTCTCAGGCTATTTTATAAATTAAATTTTATATCAACATATTATTGAAAATAAATCATTCTTAATATTTTTTATAAAAAATTTTAGTTAATTACATTAGGTTGTAAGAATTTGCGAATCAAATCTTGAGCTTCTTCACTCAATTTTTTGCTAATTAAAACTTCTTTATTCATGCTATCAATAATTTGTTTTTGCTTGTCCTTGCAAAAGAATGGTGGGTATCCATGGTATAATTCATAAATAACTGAACCTAAACTCCAAAAATCACAGCTTTCGTCATGTCCATTTTCTTTTAATTAATAATAATTATTATCAGTTTAAAACATAAAACAACACTTTATTTAGCTATTTATGCAATAGTATTTCGAATAAAATTGAAAGATACTTTCTCCTATAAAAAAGGAGTAACAAACATCATAAGATTTTAAGTGAAAAATCCAGAAATATTTTTATGAACTTATTGCATAAACTTAAATTTATTTAAAATTTATAATATAATTTTTAAAATCATTACATCCAAGCACTATTTCAGGAGCGATATAGTCAGGAGTTCCGCATTTACTTTGTGATCTTTCATCTTTGTAATCTATTTAATTAATAGTATTTATTGTACAATTTAAATTTGCAAAGACTCAAATTAATCATCATATAGAAAAATAATTTCTTTTATCAATTATTTAAATTAGAAAAAATGATAAAATTAAATTGGCTTGTTTCAAATTAATTTGTCTTTTGTATAAAGTTATAAAGTTACTTTTAATTTTGGAAAGTCCGAAATCAGCAAGCTTAATGTGTCCTTGCTTTGTTAAGAGGACATTTTCAGGCTTTAAATCTCTATAAATAATTCCTTTCGAATGTAAATATTCCAAGGCTACGATGATTTCTGAGCAGTAAAATAGAACTTCTCTATCAGTGAATTTCTATTTATATTTCATGTTCATGTATAAATCACCTTTAATTATTTTTAAGAAAAGTTAAATACAGCTTAATTATTACTAGTTTGTGACAATATCAATTGACTTGCTTGTAAAAAACTGAATAAAGAGTAAATTTCTTGAAAAATTAGGAGACCCCCCAAAATAAATAAATCCGATCAAAAAAAATAAAATAAGTGGATAGAACAACTTTTAAGTGGCTCCAAAAGATTAATTAATAATTAATTTACCCCCTTGTACGTATTCAGTGATTAAATAGAGCTTTTAATCATCCTAGAATGAGTAGTAGAGCTTCAGCAAGAAAGGATGATTATTAGATGCAAGAATATTCTTTTCGTTGAGAGCATGTTGCTTTTGCTTTTCATCTCTAATCCTGTTTTTATGGATTATTTTCATTGCATAATCTTTTTCTAATTTATGTTGATAAATGAAAATTAGTAAGCATTTAATATTCATTCAATAAATGTAAATCGAAGTCTTAATAAAGAAATTGTGTTAATTATAAGCTAATTTACTAATAAACAAATTAGACTTATCCAACACTAACTCATAATTCAAGAGAAAAGAATATAAATTTTTAATTTAAGTATAAATAATATCAAATTAAAATGAATCTTATTACTGTCAGCTTCGCAGTAAACATGGTAAACAGTACCGAAGTTGCCCTATCCAATTTTCTATATTTTAATTAAAATATATTTAGATGATGTTTTGATAAGAAATCTAGCAAAAGATTATAATTAATCGGATTTCTAATCGAAGTTAGCCCTTTGTATTTTAAGTATAATTGTATGTATTTGTATTTATTTACCTTTACAATCTTAAAGTCACAGGCACTCTTCTTTGACTTATCAAAGGAATAAAATGTTCTTTCATTTCCCAAGAAATCTTCTACGTCACTTGTGTAGTTATTCAATTTTTTATTGTTATTTCCATCACCAGTGTTACGATTTTTATTTTCAAAGTTAGCTTCGCTGCAGTGACACTATCCCATTTTCAATTGTATATTAAATAGTACTAAGTTTTACAATACCAAATTATTATTTTTATTTGTATTTTTGTATTGTTATTTTCTCAATTTTTTTCTTTCTTTGTTTGTTTTCTTTATTTATTAATTATTTTTATTTAGTGATCTTTCTTTTAAAATACAAATTCCTCATTATTTAGAAAATTTAATTAATAGTGGTTTATCAATTAATACAAAGAATTAGGCAATATTTTGAAAGTGGTGGTGAATTAGTATGTTAATTGGTGATGATAAAGTATAAGGGATATTTCTTCAATATTATAACGTATTATCAAATATATTTCTGAATTTCTTTATCTATTTGATTTTTATTTAGTGCTCATTAACTAACTAATGCAGCAATAATATAAGCCGCATCAAATTAGGTGTCATATTTTTTACATCTACCTCATTATTTTTCACAATATTACTCCATAATTATAAAATCTTTAATTTAACGTATTCTTCAAATTCCAAAAATTATCTCCAAGAGAATAAACTGAATAAAATTATTATTAATTTTAAAAAACATTGAACAATCATTTTTAAAAGAATTTATTATTATCATTTAATCTATATTAAATTCTTATTTTTAAGAAGATTAAATAAAATATAGTTAAAAATGTCTAGGTTTGTTTAAACCAAATTACATTTAATAAACTACTTACATTTAATATTTTTCTATTTTATTTTTAAAAGAATTTATAATAATAAATAAATAAGTTTGTAAATTAAGTATAAAATGAGATCAAATAAAATGATCAATACTTAATTATTTTTTATTATATTTTATTATTTAACTAATATAAAATATATTTTTAATTTTATAATAATTCAAAAATTTGTAATTTAGTGTTACTCTCTTCTTATTTATATTTTTAAAAGATAATTATCACTATTTAAGATATATAAAAACATTTTTTAATTTTCTTAATTGAATTTATTATTTTTTTTGGAGAAATAGATGAAAATTTTAATAGTTAAAAAATATAAATATATGATTTAAATACTCTATAATTATAAAAACAAACTAAAAGCAAAGATACAAATATTATTGATTAATTAATCATGAAATAGAGATTATCATATATAATTATAATACCAAATTAATACAAAAAAAATTTTAAAGAAGAATTTGTATTTAAAATTCAATTTATAGTAAATTCTTATAATTAAGAAGATCAAATAAAACATACTTAAAATGTCTAGGTTTTGTTGGCCATAATTATATTTAATAAACTGTATATTAAATATTTTTCTATTTTATTTTTGATAAGAATTAATATAAACAAAAAGAATAAAAAATATAGTTTGAATTTAAGTATTAAATGAGATCAAGTAAGATGAAAAATATTTAATTAATTTTATTACAATTTATTATTTAACATTACTAAAATATTTTTCCTTTTATACTACAAATATTAGCAATATAGTTTCAACTCTCTTCTAATTTGAATCTTTAAAAAAGAAATAAAATAAAAAGATAATTCAGATATATTAAGGTTGATAAAAATATTTTTCAATTTCTTATTTTCTGAATTGAATTTTTCAAGTTAAATATATATTTTTAAAATTTAGTATTTAAACAAATATGGATCGATAAATATATAATTAAAGAACTGTAAAATTAACACAAATAAATTGCAAAGATACAAATATTATTGATTAATTAATTTATCATCAAATAAACATTTTCAATTAAAATTTGGATGGTTAATAAAACATATAAAAAGCAAATTAATTTCATGTAAATTTTATTTATTTTAAATTTTGGTTAAATTTAACTAAAATTGAAGACGGCATCAAATATTTTCTTTCTTTTTAATATTTATTTAATATTTTTAAACTAAATTTTAAAAAAATGAAAGCTTATTATTAATTTAAATTTAGATTCTCCTAAATTAGCACCCATATATATTAACACCCATTTTTTTGAAAATATTTAGTTTGAATTAAATAAATTAATTTTCGTTTTGAATTAGGTGGGGGGGGGGGGGTGGGTACGTTAATTTATGAGAATTAATAGTAAAAAAATAAAATAACGAATAAAATAAAAGAAAATATTTGTCTAGCAAAGAAATAAAGAGTTAATTTTGTTTAATAGCTAATTTATTAAACCCATTTAAATATTCAAATAATAAATAGATCAAATATTTATTCTACTTTCTAAATAATAGCTCAAATATTAGATGCTTTTTTTATGAAAATTAAAATTTTAAATGTGTAAATAATTTATAAATTAATTAATTATACGAAAGGAATTTTATGATTATTTACTCTTCTTTAAAGTGTATGATTTTTAAAAAATCCTAACATTTAGCAACTGAATAAATTGCACATAACATTATTTTGAACAAAAGTAATTTATGCAATAAAAAATGAGTAATTTTTATGTTAAAATAATTAATGAAATAAAAAAAACATAAAAAACAAGACATTTTATTTATTAATTTATAGCCAAAATATTTTTGTCTATTTTAAGGTTACTAATTATTAATTTTTTACTAATATTTTAAAAAAATTATCCTTTGTTATTTAATTGATAATTATTACAATTAAATTTGTAATAATAGTAAAATAATTAATTAGACAAAAAAATTTAAATAAAATATTATAGTTTGACTTGTGTTAAAATTTTTTATAAAATATAATTGAAGTTAAAAATACATTTATGAATTCATGTAAATTATATTTATACAATCTTATAAAATAAATTATTTATTTAAAGTAGAAATAATCAAAAAGTGTTTGTTATAGTTTTTAAAAAGTGAGGAAGGATACCTTCACGACCATACCAAATACCTCTAGCCATCAAATTCCAGTAAGCAAAAGGGAAGAAATCTTTCTTTAAATGATAGAATAATCTGTGAGGCTTATCTTGATGTCTGTAGAAGGTTTCATCAACTACTGAGTCGTATTTGAACTCAGCAAGGATAAGCTTCTTATCACCAGTAAAAATAGGACAACTTGTATAACCTTCGTATTTTTAAGGAAGACTAGCTTCACTATTTTTTTATTTCCAGATATGGAGAAGATTATCAACAAGTATAGGAGTTTAGCTCATAACAGCAGCTGCAGTTTTAGAAGTAGGGAGATTAGAGCTATCACCTATAGCCCACACATTTTTGTATTTTTTATGCAATAAAGTCTACTTATCAACATCTACAAATCCACTAGCATCACCTAGTCCACTTTCAGCAATAAACTTAGGAGCAGTCTAAGGAGGAACGGCATGGAGTAAATCGAATTTAACTTCAGTGAGAACTTTATTATCTTGGTTTTCAAATACTGCAACTCTATCTTAACCACGAACTTCAACTAATTTACTCTTAAGATGGAGATCGATATTCTTTTGTTTGATAATTTCAGCTAAGCTGGCACTATACTTAGGAACACCAAAAACTACGGGTATAGTTTTATGGAATTCGATTGAAGTTTAGTTTCTCACACCATTTCTACGGAAACGCTCTTCATTCAAGTACAAAACCTTTTAAGGAGCTCCACCACACTTAATAGGCATTTAAGGTTCAGTGAAGACGGCCTTGCCTCCTTTAAATTCTTTAGCAAATTAATTGAATTTAGTAGCATAGTCTTTCCAATAAATAGAGCCAACAGGGCAGTTAGGGTCATCTAATGCTTCCTTTAAACCTTTTTGTATAAAAATACATATTAATATCTATATTTGATAATTTATTTTTTATTAGTTTTAATGATGTTTCTGTAATCAAAAACATAAATTTAATTTTATAAATTATTCATATATTTTATATTATGTCATATATTGACACTAATCAAAATTATAATGCTTATTCTCTTGATTCTTCTTCTTTTTTTAATACTTTTATTATAATTTTGGGATATATTTCTCCCTATTATGCTTTTTCTTGAGTTTTACTTAAATAATTTTTATGATTCAGGACTCTATTCTCTCGTTTTTTATTTAAAATTATGAATAAAATTGAATTACCTTTGATTCCTTTGAAATCGACCTTTATTCCTGTAGAAATAATGAGATGGTCATAGGTCCATTCTCTGCCATCGTCAGTGATGAACTTGTTTTACTCTGGGATAACCTTAGTTACAGCATTAAAGTTGAAGTTAATTTTCTTGTTAAAGAGGCTTTATTAAGTTCTATATGATTTTTCTGCATCATACAAACCACCACCAACCATGGTCCATGAAGGTTGGTAGTAGTGGAATCTGGAGGGATCAAAAACTCTAATATGGCTTAAATTGATTCCTTTTCTGTGGCTAAGTTAGGCAGTGACGTTTAAACTAGCTGTACCACCACCAATAATACATAAAGGAGTGTGAGTAGCAGTAGCAAATTGATACTTGAAGATCCTATTGAGCATTTTTAAATTTATTGTCTAATACTTTTTCTTTGAGTTTTTCTAAAAATAGTTTACTTTTAGGTATTTAATTTTTTTTATTAAATTATTTAATATTTTTTGGTTTTATGTTTCAATTTTTAAACAAGTATCTTTATTATGAATCTTTTCTTGTAAACTTTTTAATTTAGTAATAATATTTATTGACACCAAATAAAATTTTTCGGGAACAAGCAAGGATTATTAATAATCGTGGCTCAGACAAAAGTATATTTTGAATTTACGCAATTATTTTCTTTCTGGATAAAAAAAAGAAAAATGGCAATTTATAATATTGAGGACAGCTTATAATTCTTTATTTACAAAAATTTTCATAAAAGAAGATATAATAATTTATAATAAAAATGTCAAATAAAATTTATAAAAATAGGTTTATTTTTTTATTAGTAAAAGCATAAATTAGGATTAAACTTACAGTCAACTTTTTTTAGCATAAATTTAAAACCATTCTTTTTTAAAAAGGTATATTTTTATTCAAGAGCTAAAAATTTATTGTTACCACTGTCAGTTTAAATTAAATTTAATTTAATTAATGCATGTGTTTTTAAATTTTGGCTGTAATTAAATAATTAATTTGCATTTACAACTAAAATCTACTCATTTATTAAAAGCAATTAAATCAGTGGTATATCTCATAGTAAAAAATATCATGTCGTGTTTTTGAATTCATAGCAGCAATATACATTCTTTTTTATGATAGAATTTAAATATTTTAAGTCTTTTTATGATTTCCAAAACATATATTATTGAATTGAATCCAATTCAGCCTTTATTTTAAGATATTTCCATAAACAAATTCAAAGAATTATATTATTAATTTTATCATGATTGATGATTTATTAACAATAATAATAAATACCCAATATATTTTATAGATATTTTAACAAAAATAACTTAAATTAATTTTAATTTTTGATATTCATTTTTTAGGAAAAATATTTAAATTAATAACATTTTAATTTAATACTTAAATAAATGATTTCGTTTTTTATTTTTTATATTTTGTCATTTTAAAGGTTTTATTTATTTTCATGATGTTATTTGGACTGTTAATTAATTATGTATTTTGTTAATAAAATTCTGACTATCTCATTACTCTAAAATTAATAGCTACTTTACTTCTAATGTATAAATTTCATTAAAGTAAAATTTTGATTAACATAAAGTTTATTAAAAATAGACAGCTATTAAATGAAATTTAATTTTTTCAAAAACATATTTAAGATATATATTTATTTATTTGTTTTTAATTAGCCAGCTTTCTATTCATTAATTAATAAATTTCATAATAATAAAATTATCAATATATAAGAAGATAATAAATGTTAAATACAAATTAATAAAGCCTTTTAACCTCTTTTAAAATGAAAAAAAATAAATGAATAGTATACTTAAACATTTATATCATATGCAATTAAAGAAAATAAATAATAGGTTGATGATTTATTTATATTAAATAAGATAGCAATTAATTTAAATATTTGAAGAACTTAGAAGTTGTAAGAAAAAAGAGAAAAAATGAAATGACTTCTCTAAAATAATTTGTTGCAAATAAATTTAATTTATGTAATAATTTATATGTGAAAAACATAAATTTAAACAAATATAAATTTAATTCATTCATTCATAATTAATGATTTTTAAGCTACCATAAACTTAGCTTTGAAGTAAAAACGCAAGCTAGTTTTTAATCTTTAAGTTCTTCAACCTACTTCTGCAAATTTTCTACTTAAGAAATAAGTATTTCGTTAACAAATTTTTAATTGTAAAAATCCTTTATTTCTTTAAATAATCCCATGTTAATATTCTTTTCTAAAGGTAAGTATTAATTAAGAAGCGATTAAACTTATTGTGTTCTATCATGTGGATCAGCGATCTTCTTACTGTTATAATACTCGTTAATAATTTGATTTAAACCTACAATTACATAAAGAGCATCACTTGAACAGTTAGGTAAACACTTTTGGTAATTAAAGTAGTAAATCCTCTCATAGAAATACAAACTATTTAAAAAAGTTTTGAATTAATCTTCATTAAACAATTTTAGAAGAGCGGAAATCTCAAAATATTAACCGTTTTGAGAGGAAAACCATGATACCTTTTATGTTATCAAAATCCATTACTAATTAAGCATCAAATTCATAAATCCACAATAAGATGGTTTGTTATAAGTATGATATTCGAATAGATGATAAAGGAGAATATCATCATAATTTTATGTTGAAAATAAATTACATTATTAATTATTAAAACTATTAAGTAGTTATTATGTAATATCTCTTAAATATATGTGCATTTAAAAAAGTGTTAAAAGGCAGATGTAGGTTGGAACTTTTGTTGAGGGGAATTAAAGTACCCCATAAAATAAAAAGTTAATAAAGTTTTCAAAATCTTCTTCTAAGATATTTGGGCTATAGAGAGATAAGTCAAATGAATCATAAGGAATAGAACCTAAAAATTCTTCAATTAAATATGTTTTATTCAATATCACTTACTTCTTTTAATTTCCATATATTATTATTAGCGACTACACATCTTGTCTAGGTTACTAAAGAATTAACATATTTTAGTCTAATTACTTAAAGCTTTAAATGGAAATAGTGTTCATATTTGAAACATTCAGTTCTTTAATAAAATAAAATTAAAAAAATATTAAGGTTTAAAAAAATAAAATAATTTACAGATAGAGCATTTCTTGTTAAACTAGCCAGCTGCTGATTGATAGTATGTTTAACTATATTATGAAAATATGTAAGTTAAGTTGTCAATTTATGGCTCTCCTAATGGCAGCTATTATTATTGTTATGGTTATTCCATTTCTCTATCAACTTCTTATCTAAATTTTTAATATTATAATTATTAATAAATTAAAAATATGTATGTATTTTCCTCTTTTTTTAGATAGAATAAAAAAAATATTAAGATAAATTAAATATTCTAATTGCTCTTCCTTTTTCTATTTGTTTAATTTTTATCACCTCTTATATCTTGTTTGTCTGTCAGTCTATTAACAAAAATTACATATAAATTCATTCTGAAAATAGTTAATTTAATAATTGATAAATATTTGTGAATAAGTAAATAATTTATCATTCCCTTCCTTCTTCCTCATTTTATAAAATACTTTTCACAAAAAATGACTTTTAAAAATTGTTTAAATGTGTTTATTAAAAATAGTAATAATAATTCAAATAAATTACAATTTGAAATTAAAAAAATGTTTTTGCATAAAGTTAAATATTTATTCGTTTTATATTAAAACAGTTTCAAAGATTTTTCAGAAAAAATGTATAATAAAAAATAATAAAGATTTAATATTAAATAAATAATTAGGACTTTACAACATTAAATTTTATAAATATAAATTGAAAATTAAATATTTAATTAAAACTTATAGATGTCAAAATATTTATTTCAAATGCAATTCATAAAATCTTAAAAATGTTATAAAAATTAAAGGAATAATATTTTTATTATTTGATCATTATTTATTCATACTGTGAAATCTATGTTTTATAAATCATAAGGTAAGGACTAAGTTTAGAATATTTTCTCTCTTAACTTCCAATTTTTTTAAACAGAAATAATTTTTAATTTTTTTTATAGTATTAAAATTATATAATATAATAATAAAATTATACATAATTTAAAATATTTAAATGATATAGGGATATTTATCACAGACATTAATAACTAAATTGAATTGAATTGATTTATATGATAAATAAAATTATATAACAGAATTTATATTATATTTTCATAAAGATTATTCTTATAAACCTCCATATGTTAAAGTTCTATTTCAAATTTAAATACTTCCACCAACATAATTTAAACGTCTAATTTAAATTAATGCTGCTATTTCAAATTTATTTTGTCTATTTAATTAACTTATCTAATTTTAATTAAATTTCAAAATATTTTTTGTGAAGATTGTTGATTTAACTTATTCTTGACTTAACTCAAAATAATTCAAATCAACCCTAGTCAAGTCAAGTCGAGTTGAGTCAGAGTCTCAAAATGTGCTTGAGCAAATTATTTTATTCTGCATATAAATATAAAAATAAAATGTCAAATGAAGATGTGATGTATTATATATTTAACAATAAAATCAAAACTCAATTGAATTCCAATAGAGATCTTGAAAAATTCATACAAAAAAATTATGTTCTGATCATTATTTTTATTTAAAATTAAAATAAATTTTAAATTAACATATTTTAATAAATATAAATGAAAATATTATTTAAAGATATTTACTTTTTGAAAGGATTGCAAAAAATAAGTAATTGATTGTTAAAAAATAATATGATTAAAAGAAATATATTTTTTAATGATTTGAAACTATACATGAAAAGTAAATTTGTTAAATTGAAATTGAATTAATCTATTGGCTGCTTTTTATGTTTTTTTATAGAAACAAAATTTTAGTCCAATATAATATGCATTGGAAAGTTTTTGAAATTGCTGATGAAGGTGCATCAGGCTAAGGTTCTGGTTTAGCAAATTGCATTAATCTCTCAAATTAGACTCTTTACCTTCTATAAAAACAGTTTATTTGTTTTGGATTGTGATATTTTTAATTATAAAAACTAATTAAAAACAATAAAGCTCTTTTTTCTTTTTGTGTTTATTGTGCTTGCTTTTTTTTGTTCTTTCTTTGTTAATTTATTTAGCTCTTCCTTTTATTTTCAAATTTTTACTTTTATTATTAATTAATTAATCTTATTATTTCATATTTTTTCTTCATTTTTTCCTTCTAATTAACTATTTTATGATATATTTTTTCTTCAATATTTAAAAAGTGAAATTAAATTGGTGACGAAGGTGCATCAGGCTTAGGTTCTGGTTTAGCAAATTGCATTAATCTCTCAAATTTGACACTTAACCTTGGGTAAAAACAGTTTATTTGTTTTGGATTGTGATATTTTTAATTATAAAAACTAATTAAAAACAATAAAGCTCTTTTTTCTTTTTGTGTTTATTGTGCTTGCTTATTTTTGTTAATTTATTTAGCTCATCCTTTTATTTTCAAATTTTTACTTTTATTATTAATTAATTAATCTTATTATTTCATATTTTTTCTTCATTTTTTCCTTCTAATTAACTATTTTATGATATATTTTTTCTTCAATATTTAAAAAGTGAAATTAAATTGGTGCAATGGGTGCATCAGGCTTAGGTTCTGGTTTAGCAAATTGCATTAATCTCTCAAATTTGACACTTGACCTTGGGTAAAAACAGTTTATTTGTTTTGGATTGTGATATTTTGAATTATAAAAACTAATTAAAAACAAGAAAGCTCTTTTTTCTTTTTGTTTTTATTGTGCTTGCTTATTTTTGTTAATTTATTTAGCTCATCCTTTTATTTTCAAATTTTTACTTTTATTATTAATTAATTAATCTTATTATTTCATATTTTTTCTTCATTTTTTCCTTCTAATTAACTATTTTATGATATATTTTTTCTTCAATATTTAAAAAGTGAAAATTAAATTGGTGACGAAGGTGCATCAGGCTTAGGTTCTGGTTTAGCAAATTGCATTAATCTCTCAAATTTGACACTTGACCTTCGGTAAAAACAGTTTATTTGTTTTGGATTGTGATATTTTTAATTATAAAAACTAATTAAAAACAATAAAGCTCTTTTTTCTTTTTGTGTTTATTGTGCTTGCTTTTTTTTGTTCTTTCTTTGTTAATTTATTTAGCTCATCCTTTTATTTTCAAATTTTTACTTTTATTATTAATTAATTAATCTTATTATTTCATATTTTTTCATCATTTTTTCCTTCTAATTAACTATTTTATGATATATTTTTCTTCAATATTAAA